CAAGGATGGGTGCAGTGGAAATGACGCGCTCCAGATTCGCCACCGGCCTGGCAAGCTTGGACACCAGTGTCAGCGCCTGGAAATGCCCGCACAACGGTTGCACCGGGCTTCCACTAGTCAGGAACACAAAGTTTATTGTCTGTGTGTGCTCAAGTTGGTGGACAAGACTACGAGCAGGCTGCCAAATGTCCACCAACGACGACAGAGAACCAATGCCTGGTCCTGGCCGTAGCGAAAGCGCCACCAGCCAATGAGCTCCCCGCTTTACAGGCCGCTCGACGTTGCGCTCTTGAAGCGCGCATCCACCGAGCCCCCTGGATTAGCGTCCGGACGGAGGCAACTGAGTTGCTGCCCTGGGAAATTAAACAAAAAACACTGGACGGGAGGTGGCCGGGGTGCAGGAGATGAGGGCGTCCGGGGTGTGGCAGTAGGGAACATCTTTGGCAGGTTCTCACTCACTTTCTCTTTTATGTGACAGACGAAAAAGAGAGCAGCGGAAATCGAAAGTGGGCTTGGAAAAGGGGGTGTGGGCCTGTCCACACGATGACCAGGAAAAGAAGGCATGCTCGCAACAAGCCTACGAACGAGACAGGATGTGCGGTCCTGACTCTCTCTCCTGTCTCTCTGGACAGGGCCCTTCTCGTTGGTCTTGCCACGAGCGCCGCTCTGTATGCTCGTCGAGCTATTTAACAGTCGCTGTTCCAGCACCTCTCCCTCTCGATTCTTCTTCCTCTTTTCTCTTCTTTTTTTCTTCAGCCCAACAAGACAACTCACTTTGCATCTATTGCTCAATTTTGACTTCGGTCGTCCATTCTTTAAAAACAAATCATTTAGCTTTTTAGCTTCAGTCACTCTTTTTCAAACACCCCTCAACCATCCCTTTTCACATCTCAACCCTTTTTAGGTTCAACCTTTCATCCCTCAAAATCAGTCAAAATGCGTTTCGCTGCTGCTGCCCTTTTCTTCGCTGGTGCCGTCATGGCCGGCACTGAGTCTCCTGCTGAGAGCACCATCTACAGCACCGAGTACCAGACCATCACCTCGTGCGCCCCTGAGGTCACCAACTGCCCTGCCCGCACCTCGACCAAGGTCCACCCCCTGACCACCTCGACTGTCTTCTCCACGACCGTTCACACCATCACCTCGTGTGCCCCTGAGGTCACCAACTGCCCGGCCCGCTCGACTGTCTACTCGACTGAGGTTGTCGCTGTTTCCACCACCATCTGCCCGGTCACTGTCACCGGTGGCGGCCACTACTACAACACCACCGTCAACACCAAGACCTGGTCTCCCACCGGTGGCAACGGCGGTAACGGCGGCAACGGCGGCAGCGGCCACACTGGCGGCAACACTGTCCTGCCCGTCACGACCCCGGCTGCTTGCCCCACCTACTCCGTCAAGACCATCTCGACCTCGGTCACCACTGTCATCCCCACCGTCATCTACGAGACCGTTGCCGTCCCCTGCCCCACCACCCCCGGCGGTGGCTCCGTTGGCACCAACACTGGGTATGTTTTTTTTTTCCATGCTGCCTACGAAATACACGTCGGATGAATATGTACTAACAAAATCCAGCTCGCACACTGCCCCGACGACCGTCGTCACTGCCGGTGCCGGCAACGTCGCCTTCTCGGGCGTCCTGGCCGCTGCTGCCGGTCTTGTTGCCATTGTCCTGGCATAGAGGCCCAGTTGATGTCTTTTCCATCAATTTTTGACTTCTCTTTTGTCTCTTTTCTTTAGAAAAGCCTGGAAGGCTATGGCATTTATGAACGTACCGTACCATATGGGGCTTTCTGGCGAGTTGCTTTTTTAACAAGCAGTGGGAAGTGTTGGATCTTTGTTCTCGGCATCTGTGGAACAAAACTTTGGCATGGATCATTGGTTGTTTACCTTAATCTTCTAATTGTATTTTTTGGGTTTCCAGATTCTCTTGCCTTTTGATCAGAACGGGAGAGTTTGGATGCTCTTTTTTAAAACCCCTTTTCTTTGACTGATTTTTTTGATACTCAAGAGCTGTTGGTGAATTGATTTTTTTTTTTTTGCACATGCGTTTTCTGAAGTGACCTCTGTTTCAACAAAATTGTGTGTACAGTAAGTAAGTACAGTAACGACTAACGTTGCCAAAGCAAACAAAGCGGTGCAAAACAAAAGCCGATGGAAGGATGACTTATGGCAGTCCCGTTTCCATGGTTTTCGACTGGTTTTGCCTCTTTCCTTCTCTTCTACTCCGTATTCTCCTCGCCTCTTGTGTTCATATTCCAAACTCGCGCAATTACCGACAATAGTGCCAAAACAACCCAAACAATAAAACAGCGGTCTGGACTGCCCAAGAAAGAAGGCAAACCCATAACAAACAAACACTATGCCGCTCTCGTGAGATGATCGTTCTAACCCAACACTTGAAAGGGCCCATTCGATAACCCCACATCTCATTTCCCGAGCGTCGTACTGGAGCAATGACCGGCGTGGATGAGACGACACTAAACCGCATTTTGCTGCCAACCTTGTCCACCATCTGACACGTCCGCCTGCCGGAGTGCAGTTGTACCCCTATGCATTTTTACACTGACTGTTGGTGAGAAAGGTACATTCTGTCACCGTTCGTCGGAGTAGCATGTTGCGAAATTGCAATGGGGCTACTTCTGCACAGCCTCCCACAACAAGGTTAGCCAGGAACCAACCCCGGTTTGGTGTCTCCACTCGCTCATCGTTCCGGAGTTGACATCTTTCTGGACGTTTCTTTGCTCCCGTGGTGTGTCTCCTTTTTGGGAGGGGGGCCTTGTCAAGAGTCATGTTGTTTGAAGTCATGTACTTTTGTACTGAAGTAGCGTACGGATGTACTAGTCGGGCCGTCGAGCGACTCGACTACTCTCTCGCCCAAAGTTGATTAAATGGCCGAGGTGACCGACGTCGCCGCGTCACTACGTGATCTTCGGGAGAGATCAGAGGTTGTGAGACTTTCGTCGATGAAGATCTTAATTGACCTTGGCTTGGATGACAAGTCCGACCAGGCTCGCCAAGCAAAACAGACGACAGGGAGGACGGTGTCGTTTGGATTTTCGGTCCTTTCTTCTTTGTTTCGTTTGCACGTTACATGTGACTTTCTGTTTGGTGAAAGTGAGATGGACGCTGCACTGTGGGCAAACTTGGACGGCCAATGCACATATAAGATAATTGCGTGTGGGCTGGATGCATGTGTCGTGATATGTCCTTGTGCGGTGACATCCGGTTTTGCAGTCTGCAGTGTTCTCAGCGGAAAAGCGACTTGTGGCTCTTGCTGGCACGTCAAGTAATTGTACTACAATGTTTTGTTGTCTTTGCATGTTGCATATTCGTACGTGTTGACGCTCGCGCCGCAGCGAGTCCTCTGTCAAGGGATCCCTTCCGCGTCGACGCTCCGACAACTCTTTGTTGTCTCGCCTCGGAGCGCGTTTCAAGGTGGCAACATTGTCTTTCGTTGGCAATTTATGCCGTGCCAGAGGAAGCTAGGCACACTTCTTTCTGGTAATGACTTTGGGGCATCTGGACCGGTGACACTCCAAACGCCTTCGCTCTGGTCGTACGCGTGCGAGCAAGGCTATTGTGGTATTAAGGACTGTGCGCCTTCCTTCTCTTCTAGGCCCTCCTCCATGATGAATCTCGTCCTACGACTTACGACGCAACAAGGAAGATGTGACACAGCCGCTGCTGCATGCACTTTAACAGTGACTCCCAAATGGGAAAGCCGGTGGCCGGCAGGACTCGGGCAGACCACTTCGGCTTTGCGCCGCTAACCAGGCCATGTTCTTTGCTCGGTATTTTCTTTGCCGCCCATTCCTTGTGACGCGATTGTTTACGTGCACCTGGGATGGATAAGCGAGGTCTGGACCCGATGCCTGTCGAGATAGTGCGATAGGAGAGAGAGATATGTCCATTTTTGACAATCTAAATCATTGTGTCGGCAAGGTCAAGTCGATTAACCTTTCCAAGGATCCTGATCGCGATCCCCAGTCCTCTCAGCGCCGACGTGTTTATCCACAGCCCTTCTTCAATGTTCGTACAAATGAGAATGCGATTGCGTCATTAGATGCATTCTTAAATGTTGGTGATCGTGTGGTGGGGTTTGCGTGTCAGGAATGTGCGTCATGTCGCGACTTTTGTAAGTGCAGACAAAGTCGCGGTTGTATCGGGAATTGACTTGGTCCTATGCTTTTTTACCGTTTTGTTCTCGGTGCTCGGGAAGAGAAATGGGTTGCGAGGCGGTTTGTGTTTTGTTTGATTTGTTTTGATTTTTTGGTGGAAAAATGAAACAGAAATTATTTTATTTTTACATATATTTGTTTTCGTTTGTTGTTATACATTTTACGCTTCATCAAATTCGAAAGTGTACCAAATCAAATAAGTACTATTAAATCGCGACATACTACCACTCGCCTTTCACTCCCCAAAGAACGAAGATACAGCAAAGGGGGCAGGACCGAATAGAAGGCACCACAACAAAAGAGATAATTCGTCGTTAAGATACTCGTTCATCGTAGGATGCATCACATCCCTGTGCATCTCAGCCTTGCCCGACATCACGACCAATGACGTAATTGCTTTTAACAGATGAAGCGAGAGACATTCATCTAGAAGATCGCCGATCTTCAATAGCCACTGCAACGTATTGTCTCTCCAACGAGGCTGCTGTGAACCGGAACTCGAACCTGAAATTAGAGCCCGAAACGAGGCTTGCTCCTAAGAATTCCATACAGATCCGACGGACAACGTCGGTCCGAAACAGACATCAAGTGCACCCGTTCCCCAGAGAAGCTTGGCGGTTATGGAGTCAGTGTGTTTGACATTGTAAATAACAACGCACACGGTACATTTTCTGCCTACGGCAATCGAGCAAGAAACGTCGGATCTGCCAGCGAACTCTTTGCCACGATCACCCGGTAACAACGTTTTCTACGTCGTACCTGCTAACGCTCTACTACCAGACCTTTTCTCGATTCCCAACCAAAGCCCGACACCCAAAGATGGCCATGGCGACTTCGCCGTTCTCTCGCAACGACTACATTGACAATCGCAACATCCAGGGCGGGCAAATCAATGCCGCGCTGCGCACCATCCGAACGGTCATTCAAGACCTTCAGAAGGAACTCCGGACAGACTTCCAAAGTCTAAATCACAGAGTCGATGGCACCGAGCAGGGCACCTGGGACCTCAAGGACGACGTCCGGGGACTTGAGAATGAGGGTTGGGGACTCAGAACGATGTCTGGGGACTCAAGAACGATACGTTTGAGCAACGCCCCTCAATGGTCCGAATAAACAACCAGCTCCTCAAATGCCCAATCTCACGCGTCCACCCGATCGCGGTGCGCCACCCGGCTCTCGGCATCATGGAGCCCAACAGGTGTCGGATTGAGCTGTCCATGTTGCCCCTTGTCTCGAAGCTGATGATGGCGCTGATCCAGGCCTCGACGCTTTTGATGACTTCTTGATCCATGCTGCCACTAACAAGAAATTTCTGAATCGAAGTTTTCAAAGTAAAGACGGTTTGGGAGAGACGAATACTGACCTTATGCTTGGAGGGACTTCGCCTTTTGTTGGCCCGGGAGGATGTGGTGTTCGGTTTTCTGTTTTCTGTTTTCTGTTTTCTGTTTTCTGTTTTCTGTTTTACGGACAGAGTGGTGATGCCAACATATGGGGTTTTGTAGCTTTTGTTTCCGGAACAATACCCAACTGCTTCCACGGAATATGCAATGCGCCGCACGATACTTCTTCACTATGTACATTTGCTTGCTCCCACGATCTAGAACAGCATGTGCGTTGTGCCGGACGAGCTGCGATCCAATTGCTCAAAGCCAACAACTCTCCTAGAAAAGTACCTCTGAAAGGAAGATCAACCCTGACGAAGCACCGGCTCTTTACGTCAACGGAAGTTGTTTCGTAGAAGCCAGCTGCTTGTACCAGTCATGCCTTTTGTCGTCTTATGAAATGGTGCTGTCTGTCCTGTCCTGTATGTTTTGTTTGTCTTATCCCGATGTTGCTTGCTGAACCTACGTTCCTGCCTTTGGGCACCTGCCCTTGGCCCCCACGCCCCGCATCCGTGGACAAGGACGTCTGCCTTGCGCAATATTCTGCTGTGCATTATGGTAGGTGTTTTGGCTGTGATTTTGATTTTTACTTATCACCAGCAAAAGAAACGACTCAGTCGGTAGGCCTATAGCTCTTTGCCTCATCCACCCACCATTCGAGGACGCTTTAACAGCTCCCCACAAACCAAAAGTACGCGCATCATTCGCGAGCCCACGATAACCGCGACATGTCGTCATTACTTGACGGGCACATGAAGCTGATAAGGCTTCTCCAAGACTCCTCTTCATCTAAGGCTCTGGGTTCACCGCGGCCCGAGGCTATTCTCGGCCATTTCATGGCTGCCGTTTCAGCCGACGACGTCGACGCTCTTAAATCACTCCTCGACGAGCATTTCCCCGAACGGACCAAGCCTTTTCCGGGCGTCTATTTCGTCTCCGAGCTGCTTCCTGTCGTCAGCCACGCTGCGCGGCACGGCCAGGTCGCTGTCTTAAAGGAGCCTTTTGCGTACGAGTCCAACGACTCTAACTTGACAGACTTTGCCGCAGATGACGCTCTTGACGCCGGCGCCAAGGATACGCTCCTCTTTTTCCTAGAGCAGAGGTGGGACATGAACGAAATTCGAAAGGACAAGATAACGTTCTTAGCGTCGGCGTTGTCGGAGTCAAAGCCGCCGGACAAGCCGGATCGAGGTATGGTCTTATGGCTCATTCAGCACGGCGCTGACCTAAACGCTCGACCGCCGCACGTCGACGACACCGCAATGTCCCGGGCCGTGATAAACGCACCGCCCGACTTGATTTGCGAGCTGCTCGACAGCTACGGGGGCGACGTCCACCGCGGCCAGCTGCTGCACAGCGTTTTGCTCCGGAGGCCTGGCGACCATCTGGTCGAGGTCATGGGCCTCCTGCTAAGTCGCGGTGCGCCTCTCAGCACGACAAAGTACGCGGGCGATGCCAGATCGCTGAACCATTATAGGACCTCGGACTTGGGCACACCTCTGCATATGGCCGCTTTGATGGGAAAGGCCGAGGCCGTCCAATATCTCTTGTCCCAGGGCGCTGACGCGAGCATCTGCAGCACCAAAGGCCAGACGGCGCTGCAGGGGGCCGAAAAAGCCCGGAGAGACGACGTGGTGGCAATTTTGCGATCGCCGGATCAGTATAAATTGTAGGGGAACCATTGGTTATAACAACGACAGTGACGGCGTGCAACTACGGTCACGGTGTGTATTATTAGGACGGGCGTTTTCTTATTAAGCTTTCTTTAACTTTCTGTCGGACACAAATTTGCAGAAGGGGACAGGGCACACAAGTTTGCTTTTTTGACAGCTGATAGCCATGTTGATGAGAAACGAAATTTTGTTGTTTATTCTGACTTTCCTCTCCTCATTTCCCCCCTTTCTTGTTCTCCTCAAAGTTAGACATCCAAATCATTATATGTAAGGCTAACTTAAAGATGTTATTTCTTTTTTGTTCCCGTTGCTGGTGTCGGCAACTACACGGACAACCACATTTCCCTCTTTTAGTTCCCCTGTCTTCTTCCCCTTTTGTTTGTCACCATCTCTTTTTCTTTGTTATATCGTCTTCTTCCCGCTCTATTTCTCCTCGGCTCTCTCCACTTGCTCCTCTCGCTACGTTTTTTCTGCTTTTGTTTAACATCCCTTCTCCCTTCCATATAAGAGCACTGCAAGGCACGCTAGCAAGCCCAACCGCAGGCGCATATAATATTATTACTAATAAAAGGCTCGCTTTACAAGTTATTATTAAAAATAAGTTTACTTTTCTATTACGCACTGGCGTGGTTGTCTGGGATATTCGAGAGGTCAACCGACGGAACAGAAATAAATGCATCACGTGTATCACGTTTCAGAAGGCCGTACTTTGGTATGGGTTCTGAATAATAGTTGATAACGTATGTGATGAAGCTGTTGATTGAATAAACTATGAGAACGAATTACAGGTGAGATAAAGGCCCTAAGTAGCGCCACAGCGTGGCGTAGGGCCAGGCTCCCAAAGGGAGCCCGCGCGTAACATTTTCAATATAAGTGAAAAGGCGACTTTTAATCGTCTTTCCCCTTTAAATAAATAATCAAACGGAAAGGTCGAACCAAGGCCTTAAGTAGTATTTACGTTGCTTTATTCATAGAAATTGATTAATTTATATAAGTCCTTTTTTTTTAACTTTCACTTAATTAACGAGAACGTTTCTCGAAAAAAAAGCTACTGGTTCTAAAATTAAAAATTCGGACACCAATAATATAATGGCCAGTTTGGTCTTATTGGAAACGGCACCTCCTCTTCCGCTTTCACCAGAATGGCGCATCTGCCAAGACAGACTGCACGTCCACGACAGAACTCGACGCCCAAATGCACTCTTAGATTCAGATGAGCCAAAATTGCTGTGTCTTTCTCTTTGTGGTACTTGGTAATTTTGCCTTCATACGACCAACACGGATTTTCGCTTATGCCTGGCTTCAAGCAAAGCTGGTTGGTGTTTGGTGATGCCTTTCAACTTTGCACACGCGTGGCATACGGCGTATATTGCGGCTTACGTATAGGCTATTATATCGCATGATATTTCTTTTTGGTCACAATAGATTGCCTGAACGATTGACCGCATTATGCGCCACCTGTGCCTGCATCTACAATACCCCCGAAATATCGCTATGCCGCATTTGGTTGTCCATCCACTTGCAGCTTTCTGCAGCTTTCTGCAGCTTTTCATGCAGGAACAGACGAAAGAGAAGCGGCGGCGGCCCTGTCATAAAACTCTTCCCTTATTCGTGCGTTGTCGTTGTTCCCCATTCCTTTTTCCTCGAAGCGTGTTCAGGAACAGACGGGCAAACTCCCACGGGCAGCGAACCGGCTAAAGTAGGCGCAAAGATTGCTCTATTTACCAATCCCCTCTGCTTTGGCTTTCGCTAAATTTTATTCTACGGTGTGATTTGATCTCGTGCTTGGCAATATATCACTCCTCCCCCTTCCCTCTCGAACGGCCCTTCCGATATGTATTTGGGTACGACTGGCCAGGACTTTAAGAAGTGGTTTGAATCAGATCAGCCGCGTGGAGTTCAATATACGCCCGAGTTGGCCATATTGATCGAGAGGGACCGAGAAGAGCTGTGAACACGTCTGTAAGAGACATACAAAAAGACATAGAATAGAAAAATGCTCCCCATGCATCCTGCCTGTATCGCGACTGCATAGTACATCCTCAACGGTTGAGCGCTATGGTTGCTTTGGCCGTCGACATCCTAGCCACCGGCACCACGCCCCAGCTCCCATTTCCATTCGCGATCCCATGAAAAGAAAGAGAGAAACAGACACACGACGCTGTTCATAAAAATGAGATTGCACACCCTTCGTTGTGGGATGGTCTTGTTGGCGGCCATCGGCATGACCGTGGCACAGCAAAATCAACAACAGATCGAGCAGCTGCAGCCACCATTGTCGGCATGGTCACCCCCTCCAGAACCACCACTCCAACAGCGACAGGATCTCTTCGCTCCCACTTCCACCGCTGTGTCGACCAGTGTGTCCGTCAGCGTCAGCGTGTATACCTCGACGTCCACTGAGACGTCGACGTCGACGGCCGTCGCCACCTCCACCACCACAGCCACCGACTCGACACGCGTCTTGCCCCTATTTTATCTCGACGAGCGTGCCTTCGAGGGCCTGCCCTATACCGTGCTGCATCGTGTCTGCGGCAGCGTCGCGGGGGTCGACGCCGACGGCGGGGCCACGACCTTTGTCATCACCACGACACGTATCGATCTCGTGGCGACGGCGACGGCCATGAATAGCACGGGGGAGGCTGCTACGGCCCTGGAGGCGGCGTCTTCGACGGACACGAATCTGTCGACCACGACCATGACCACGACCACCCGCCGCTCCCACATCTCACCCACCGCTAGCATCATCACCGCCAGCAGCTCCTGGGCCAACAATGCCACCGGCCCGCCGTCCACCATCACCCAGGGCCCCTCGACCTTTGTCTTCACGGGCACACGCTTCGGCGACCCCAGCCGCACTCTTGTGAACCAATGCCGGCTGAGCGGCACGAGCTCGGCGCGCTGCAATTTGACGCACGTGGGACCCATCTGGTACACGGCGGACGCCAACTGGAATGGCACGTACTCGACGTACAACTACACGTGGACGAGCGGCGACCGCTATGGATTTGCGCCGTGCACCGTGACGGCGGGTGTGAGTTTGCTCGGACCACCGACGGCCGTGGTGGCGGCGCCGTCATCGACCAACGGTGCTGCACGAGCTGGGGCGCCGTGGCGAGGAGAACGGGAGAAGACGGTGGCACCAAGAGCAATGGCATCTCTGGTGTCTTTTTTGTTGTCACCGGAGCTGCGGAATGTTGTCTGGCCGCTGTTTGCCATGCTTGGCTGTCTTGTCGGATTGTTTGCCCTGGCGTGAGAGTTCTGGTTAAAAAGAAAACGGGAGAGGCAAACTGCATTTACAAAATAATCACCGGAAATACAGGACGTAAAAATATAGATGTAATTGAAAAGAAGCAAAAAAAAATCAAAATCGAAACCATAATGACAAAAAAGATACAAAATGGCAGCTGTAAGAGGCCCCCCTTTTCTTAAAACGCCGAGGATAAAATGCCGCCCAATGTATACTGAAAAATGAATGCTTCCGTCGAGCCGACATTATTCGTCTGCTTCGGTTTCCTCCACAATGGGCACGTCGTCATCAAAGTCAACACCATGCCCCGGCTCCTCATCGTCGTCGTAGCTGTCTTGGAGCGTATTCTGTATACCGATTCCGCCACCTGAAAGGTCCAGGTCGCCGTCCGTGTCGGACGTAAGGTTGTTCTCGTCCGACGTGGCGGTTGTGCTGCCCAGTCCACTACCAGCAAGGGAACCTGATAGGCCCAGGCCGATGCCCGATGCCAAGTCCCGGCGGCGTCGCCGCAGGCGCGTGAGGCTGGTAGTGTCGTCGTCGCTCATCAGTGAGTCGAGGCTGCTGCTGACGGTGTGGCCCTGTCCGCCAAGGTTGCCAAGGTGTAGCAAGCCGCGACTGCGACCGCGACCGCTGTTATCACCCACACCCCCAACACGGTCTGAGCGCTCGGCGTTGGCCGTGTTGGCTGCCCCCGCTGCAGTGCCACCGGCGGCCTGCAACCGCGTCTCCAAGCGGCCCCGCTCGACGAGCCGCTCAATCCGCAGCCGGTTCGATACAAATTTGAGCGGCGGGAACGCCGACTGCCGGCCCTCGTGCAGCATGCGCGCAAGCCGCGGCGGGTCAGGATCCGACAGGAGGTGCACAAAGTCCGAGGGTATGGACTTGGGCCAGATCGTAATGGTGCCGCTAAACGGCTGCAGCCACAGCTCGGACCAGTCCTGGCCCAGGAGCCGCGGCAGCAGCTCTAGATTGCGCAGGAGCTTGAGCCATTTGCGCAAGTCTTGCTTGAGGTACTCTTCAAAGGCGGAGCCCAAGTAGCCGCCGCGCCAGCCGCGGCCTTTGCGGTGCGTCACGGGCTGGCCCACGGAGCCGCGACTGCTGAAGAAGAAGAGGTTGACATGCGGGTTGACCTGGCTGACAATGGTAAAGTTGACGTTGAAGTGTAGGTTGAGTGACTTGATCGGAATGTCCGTGCGAAGGCTGCCGTCCTTCCACTTGTGGCCAAACGAGTACGGCACAAGCCGGCCGCCGGGCGTCTTCATCATGAGCACCACGGGATTCAGAATGCCGGGGACAGCCGCCGAGGCCAGCACGGCCGACCAGATGACACAGTCGGGTGCGGTGCGGTAGTTGCACAGAATCGTCGGTGAGTGTGGGTCCGCTGGCACGCAGGTGACGTTGAGGATACGACCCGTGCGCTCATAGGCCTCGCGGAAGGTCATCGATCCGTGCGACCACCAGGCACACTGCCGCGCCCAGTCGACCGAGTCGAACCGTGCACCCGTCTTCCACCATCGGCGAAACCAGACAGAAAACGGCTCGCTGCAGGCGTTGATCTTGCCGGCCAGAGCGGGCACGAGAAGCTGCCGCAGCTCGTCGTTAGTCCGGGTCGCGACGAGAGCCGCCACCAGGGCGCCACCGCTCGTGCCTGTGATGACATTGGGCAGCAGGTCCTCGTCAAGAAGCGCCCGCACTACGCCAAAGTGGTAATAGGCAAACGACGCGCCACCTGATAGACAGAGGGCAGTCCGGCCGTAGTTGGCGTAGAGGCGCTTGAACAATGCGCGCTTCTCGGCGGCGTCGAGTTGGTTGGTCTGGATCAAAAACTCCAGACTCCGCTCGACTTCATCGACAAAGCTCTGCACGAGGTTTTTGGTTCCGTAGTATGTCCGGCTGTACAGGTGCCGGTTTTCTATGCCAGCAAAGTTGTTCTTGACGCACGCCTCCACGAGCGCCTTGAGTTCGCTCACATTGTTCTTCTTGTCGCCGCCCTCGGTGGCTGCGTCTTCTGGTCTTTCTTCAGCTGCCTCAGCTGCCTCAGCTGCTTCAGCTCGCGCCCGGCACTTCCGCAGGTGGTCGGCCACGCGGCGCACCGTACGGAAGTCATAAAAGGCAAACTCGTTTTCCTCCTTCCAGCGGTCGTTGCCAAGGTGTGCATCGAGCGCGTTGGCGGCGGAAACCCAGTCTGCGTAATTATTTGTGGCACGCATGCGGTGGCGCAGGCGTTGGCGGCGGCCGCGCCAGGTGATGAGCTGCTCGTACGCGGCAATGTACATGCGCGTGAGCAGGTAGGCAATGGACAGGCCGATTATCCAGCCAAAGACGCCAATGAGGAACGGCCACTTGAGCAGGCCGTACAGATAGCCCTCGCGTGTTTCGTCGCGCGTGCGGCGTCCTAGGGATGACGAGCCGGCCTTGTCAGATCGTTTGCGGGAGCGCTTCCCCGCGGCAGTGGATGCGGCGGCCGCCCGGCGTCGCTGCTCTTGGCGGCGCGACCGTTTGCTGGTAACTCCGCTGTTTCCGCCGCCTGATTGTGTTGTGCCCGCGGAAGAGGGTGTTTTCTTCCACGTGAAAAATGAGGGCAGCCATGCAGATGCTGCCGAAAAGAAAGGTGCAGTGCGGCGAGAGCCAGGAGCAGCAGCACCAGAAGCAGAAGCAGAAGCATTGCCGTCAGCTTCTTCGACCCTTTCGCGTATGGGAGCCCAGTCGTTCTTCGCCGTAATAAAGAAGGAAGCGTCAACGCCGGTGGTGCTGCTAGCACCGTCTGTACTGCTCATGGCCGAATTTCGTTTAGTCAGGGTGGCTGGTGTGGCGACGGTTGAACTTTGCCGGGAAATGCCCTCATCGCCCGGGCTCACTGAAGCGGTGGCTGCCGGTGACTGTAATGGGTCGGGCGCGGCCAGGGCCTGGACAAAGGCATCGACATCGTCGGGTGAGATGAAGTCGGTATCGTAGTCGGGTAGCTGTGTCATGTCGCTCAGTGTATCGGTTGGGAAGCCGTAAAGGGAGGGTCCGCCATCGGCAGAGCCACCCGTACTCTTCTCCGCCATCGCGGTGTATATGTGTGATGATGGGTGCTTGCACGAGTCGTCGGATAGGTAAATGAGAGAGATCGTGTTGTCTATGAAGGACGGCGTTCGATCGCAGAGGCCCGCGAGGGCCTAATTTAAAAGTTCCTCAGTCCTCGAAGTCGGTGAAGCTTGATTTGCGTACGTCGCGGGCCGTTTTTTTGGATTGTACACAAAGCGTTGTCGTTCTGGAGCGACAATGTACTTGTCAAAACGGTGGGAGGGAGAGATTGAGAAAGAAAGCTTGAGATTCCAAGGAAAGGAGAGTTTGGAGCGAGAAAGTTGTCCGAGGCTGAACGGTGCTGGATCGTGCCTTCTTCTGCAAATGACGTCGGCGATAAACTATTTGGGTAACGAGGACTGGACAGCTGGCGAGGGAAAGTGGGCCTCGACCCTAGTGGCGTTGGTGCTTGGCGGGGGACTTGGGGAGGCGACAGGACATTGAGGTTAAAATGCATGTGCAAGTGGCATCTGGCGATACCCTTTGTTTTGGATTTATTATTTTGAGAAATTTTGTTTATTGTATTTATCAATCTAATATCGCATCCGCAGAACCACTTTTGTACTGTCTGGAGGAAAGGCAGTACGCCCTGTCACGATAATCCAAATCACGTGATAATCTGATCAAATTGACATGTGCATGAATCTTCCATTTTGGCCATGATATGCAACGATTATGATCTTACGTATACTACGAGGGCCAAGAATGTGTTGATATGAGTATTATTAGTATTCACATATGACTTGCTGTCCAACTCAGCCTTGCTGGCTTGTTGCTGATGACCTGATACAATTGGTAGCATCACGTGATCGTCAACACGCATTTACATCACTCCACTGCTCCCTTTTCTTCACAGGGGGCAGTTGTCGATGTTGGCATGCCACTTCTTCTGAACGTAAGGGAGCAAGTAGTCCTGCGAGGTAAAGTTCTCAGAAATGTACGGCGTGACGTCCGCATCGGAGTACGCTGAGCCGAGGTACGACAGGATGTAGGATTGGATGCTACTTTTGTTAGAAAGGGGGAACAGGCAACTCACAACAAAAAGCGGAGCAAAACAAGAAAAAAAAAGGCCCAAAAAGATCGCAGGGGAGGGGTGGGAGACATACAAATCGACAAAGACAACATCAACCTTGTCCGGATTGCGGCACTTGGAATAGCCACCGGTGGCCATGTAGTAAAGAGGGATAGAGTAGCTGGGGATCGACGAGTGCGCGGTGTCGTCACCGTCGGTGCCAAAGTCGTCGGTGGTGATGTAGCCGCTCGTCTCCTGGACCTGTCGGCGGCCAATTCCGAGTAGGGAGCTGTCAGGCGTAGAGGTAGACGCATCGCGGCGGGCGAGGCTGACCTCGGGGTCGACGCATGCATCCCTGCCAAACAGCGTGTTGGCATCCACAGACGCAAGGCTGCGCTTGTCGGCACCGCCACTGTTGAGCTGGTGAATAAGGTTGTTGGCGTCGGCAAAGGGCACGTCCGGAATGTACTTGAAGACGTTGCGGAAGGGCGACACGATAAAGTTGTCGTCGTAGGTGAAGGGGCCCTTGTGCATGTCGAAGCGGATGCCGCCCGTGTTGGAAAATATCATGCGGGCTTTGTTGGCGCGGTTGGGGTTGACCACAATCTCGCTGGCGGCGTCGGTCATGACGGTGAAAATGTTGGTCGGATCGCCAAAGGGCACGCACGTCTGGCAGTAAAAGGCGGGCACGCAGCCGTACACCTCGCCGAGGCGCTGTTGAGTGCGGATGGCGGCAACGTCGTCCGTGGCCTTGAGACCGGCCGGGGTGTCGAATGACGACGAGCCCACGGAGTGATACTGGAAGGTGTAGCGGTTCCAGTCGAGGTAGCGACGCGAGTACACAAAGGGCGATGCCGTCTCCGTCTGGTCTGACTTGACAGCAATCGCCTTGCGAGTCGGGTTGACCACGCCGCTGGGGTTCGCGGCGCCCGTGCGACCGCTGTTGGTCTCGTTGAAGCCGCTCATAGAGAACCAGCCGACAGTCTCGCAGTAGCGGCCGCTCTCGAGAGCCGTGCTGGCTTCATCGACGACGGCGAAATCGCGGACGTGGCTGTGGCCACCAAAGATCTGGATAGGCGTGGTGGTGTGGATGGCGCGGATGGCGTTGTGGACGACCTGGAACGTGCTGCCGCTGGTAGAGGGACGCGCAATGTTGTGGCCGATGAGGAGGAAAAGGTCCACGGGCTCGTTCGTGTTGATGGCGTCGGTGAACCAAGACTGCTTAACCATCTCCGACGCCGGGATGACCTTGGAGAAGTTGGTGTTGCCTGTGAAGTCAAACAGGACGCCAAACGCCATGATGCGGAGACCTGCAGACATGTTAGCATGCTCCTGCTGTCATAGTAGAGTTGGAATGGCCACTCGCTTACCATTCTCCGTCGTAAAGTAGCGGTGCGTCTTGCCGACGTACTCCCACTCTTGGGTGTCCGGGTTGATAATCTGCACATTGGACGTGAGGTACTTGTCGCCCCAGAACGAGCTGAAATCGTTGAAGGTGTGGTAGGCAACGTCCGCCAGGTAGAGCTCGTGGTTGCCAATGGTCAGGAGATCGTATGCGCTCAGCTCGCTAAAGACCTTGTCGGAGAGCAGGCCGTCGGGCGAGGTGGTATCGCTGAGGCCCGTTCCGTCGTGCAGGTCACCTGAAGAGGATGTTAGTGATTGGCAAGGGAGAACACACACGAATACACAGCACTGCTTTTCATCGCATCTCACTCTCACTCTCGCTCTCGTTCTCGCTCTCGCTCTACTCGCCAGAGACTGACCCGTGTCGATGAGAAGCAGGTCGACACCCAAGCTCTGGGCCTGCTGCTTCATATGCGCCGTGAAGGAAATGAAGTCGCCAAAGTCGGCGCCATCTGTCTTGTTAGCTGCCGAGGAAATTGAGAGCATCAGAAATAGAGTAGCACTTTACAGTTTGCTTCCTTCAGGTGGCCCTCGAGCCAGCCGTGGGTATCCGTCTAGCAAAGGCGATTGTCAGAGAGTGTGCTCTATGGCATCGTCGGAATCGATCATGATAATTGCACATGGCAACTGGAGACGACAAACCGTGTGGAGGACATTGAACTGGCCCCATTCGAGCGGCCGTGTCGGACCGTAGGTGGCCTCCGGTGCGCCCGGCTGGATGCGCTTGGCGTGCCGGACATGCTCGACGTGGTTGATGGGGCCATAGCAGCTATCACAGGCGGCAGCCGCCGCGACAAAGAGTGCCGTAGCGCCGGCGGTAAATCCCTTCATTCTGGACCTGGAAAACTGAGGTAGAGAAAGAAAGGAGAGGACCGGCGGGCAGATTTGCGATTGTCAGGAATGTCGTATACTGTCTCATTCAGCGTGGCAGGAGGGGAGGAAGGTGCAGCTGCTTTAAAGAATGATCGGCAATTCTGGCGTCCCGAGAGGCAGGATCAACCGGATGCCCACGGTCTTTGCTCCTGCCCGATTCGAGAAACTATGATCTCCCTCGGTGTCACGAATTAGGACGTCATGACGGGATCGAAATGCGTCGAAATGCGACGGTGTACAAAATAAACGGGGAAGAAAGTCTCGGCGTGAGGTGTTCGACCCCGGCAAAATGCTGTTAGTCGGGACACGTGCCAGCCGTGTTGACCACTGTTGGTGATTATGGCGATCGGACCCATGTTCTTGAATAAGATGAACACAGCCTTGGCAGAGCAGAAGCGCGGAAAGCCAAGGAATGTCTTACAACTTTAAGGGCTGTAACTCTAAACGATAGGGCCAAAAACAATATAAAAACCTTGCAGGATAGTTCCGTAGATCGAAGAGCATTGATCAAGGAGCATTGGTCCAGGTGCTGACGTGCATTTTACGACAGGTTCGGGGAACCTTGCAAATGTGATATTGGCAAAATGAACGGTGCAAGTCGGGTCGTTTTCTCTCCCGGATAAATAGGTCGCTAGCTTTGCTATTCACATAAAAAGTACATGAAAAACGAGTCGTAAAGTACAGACATGAATACAAATACCCGAAAACGCCCAGTAGTCATTGAATCGTGGACGACATCCCTGCTTCGGCCCTTCCTTTTAGCATTCCCGCGTCTCAGTTTTGCAAACACACCAGAACACGCGCCTCGCCGTCCAAGAGCAGTTCATCGTGCACCCGGCTCACGACGAGGTCCCAGTCTACGTCGTTGGTGATGCGTTCGAGGCCGGGCAGCGTCATGATGGACACGGCATCGACGGTCCTGCCTGACTGGGCACACAGGTCCATCACATACGAGTAGCCCGCGTTGCGGATGTCGTCTTCGTGGTGTAGTACGATCTGTGGGATGACGCGCTGTTGCGACCGGGCGTCGACGATGTTGATATGGTAGCGGATGTTGACGTTTGCCGGTGGTCGGGTTTCAGCGCGGAGATCGATTGCGGGTGTGGCCGTGACCGGTAATGGGGCTGCAGAGGGTGAAGGTGAGGCCTTCTTCGACTTGCTGATCAGCGGGGCGTCCCTGTTGGCGCTCGAAGACAGCAAGTCATCACGGAGAACCTAAGAGGTGTGCATTAGTACGGATATATTGCAGCAGAGAGGCGAAGAGGACGTACCCTTGGTGAACTGTATTCGAGGTTGATAGTAGGGTGTGGATGTGGCGGATCCAGGGCCGGAGGTTCCACCGAAGGCTTCGATGCAGCCCGTGGCTGTGGGGTATTCCGCTTCCGTTTTCGCGGTTTTTGCTTTTGCATTGGCACTTTCTCCGTACGTACTTTCAACGTTTTCAGTTCGGACTCTTGGGGAGATTTTGGTGACACCAGTTCTGACGATTCCGACAGTTGCGACTTTGGCAAGCGTTCTTTCCCAGGTGTAGAAGCGGGGGACGTTGGGTTCAGCCTGCGGTACCGGTCTCGTGAACTCTTATTGCGTGTTATGCGGTACAACAGCTGGATGAACAGCAGTGTGAGACTGATCAATGGTTAGCAAAGAGTCAGATTATGCACGCTGTGCATACAAGGCGCAGAAGTCGCAAAGGGGGGAAGGGGGAAAAGGGGAAGACTTGCGTTGTTGAGTCGTCCGGCCATACGTGCATGCTTCTTGGCTCGAGGGGCGAGTCGCGCCCAAACCAGCGCCGGCCCACGCCAAAGTGGCCATCTCCGTCGTCCTTGAGTAGCGCCAACGAGCTGAGGATCAACGTCACCTTGAGGATGCGCAAAGCTGTCGGGTCGGACGAGCCGCTCATGTGAACCGTGTGCGCCGGGTTGGCAAGGTGCTCGTGGCACGTTGCGACAATGTAGCGGCCGGCGTCTACGTCGAGGCCGAGCCGGTCTTGGATGCCGCGGATTGTCAGTTTCGAGTCTACAATGTTAGTCGGCGGTGCAGGACGGGAGAAGAACGGAGGTAACAATAGTAGAAGGGGGAGGGGGAGCTCACGAAGCTGAACGTATGGCAGCAGCTCCTCGACGTTCCAGTTGTCGAGGTCGATGCGCGCAGGTGGCGGGCCTTGCGGACAGCGCGGCCGGAGTTCGAGGTAGTGGGGAATCGACATCGGCAATGGCAGTGGATGAACAAACCCTTGAACCTGTCTCGAGGACAGAAAGACGACCTCGTTGTCGTCGCAGTCGTCATTTTTGTCGGTAGCGGCAAGCCCTCGGCCTTCTTGATCGTCTTGGGTGCCTGCTAATGGTCCTACTGCGTGAGTGGAAATGTCAATGCCTGGACGTGCTTGTTGCGACGAAACCCATCCGCCATCAGATGTTTTTGATGCGGGGGAAACTGGTCTTGTGGTGGTTGCGACAAGGCTCTCTTGGACACCGGACGGGAATGGGACTGCCTCTTCTCCTGCTTCTCCTGTTTCACCACCACCACCCTTATTTAGCTGTCGGGCCATCTCCAGCTCGAACGCCAGCCCGATATCGACATCAAAGTCAAGGTTGAAGTCGAAATCGACAACAGGGAGGTCCTCAAGACCGGCATCAGGCAACAACAGACTGTCCTCCTCCTTTCCCATCCCATCCTGTCCGGGTCCAGGTCCTTGTGTTGTTTGTCTTTCTTGTTTTGCTTCTTTGTGTTGGTGCTGGTTTTGATGCTCTGAAAGGAGAGTACTAACGTCACAAGAGCGCTCCAGCGGAAGCGGGAGCGGTGGATGGGGCAGAGCGAGCGGGAAGGGGAGAGGGGATGCGCAGCCCGGATGCCGAGCGTTTTCGTCGTCGAGTTCGCCAAACAGACTCTCCATATCGGCGTCACCGCCAAACAGCGAGTCCTGCTCGTCAAAGCCCAAGTCCGAGTCTGCACCGAATACGCCACTGTCAAAGAACAGACTCGCATCAGCAACGGAATCGCATCCCAACCCGTCAAAAAGGGACTGGCTCTCGGCCGCTTCCCGCTGCTCGCCTTCCAGTCGTGGGCCATCGAGGGCCAGATAGTGTTGGAGGCGTCGGCCATCCATGTCGAAGGACGTTGAGGAGGTAGAAAAAAGTAGCAAAGTCAAAACGAGAGGTGGAAAATAAAACAGGGAAGAACGAGTCGGGCGAGGCAAAGCAGAAGCGCCTGTTATGAGGTTGTTTAGTGCTTCATCCTGCGGATGTTCGAGCTTTGCTCTCGCCTTTTGCTAACCCCTTTCTTTCCGAAGAAATGATAAATGGCTCCAAGCCAACCTTGTACATTGGTATCTGTTCTCAACTATCCCAATAAAATGAGGGACCAGAAAGAGAGAGCCTGAGCAATCAAGCTGTCCTCGAAACAGGATGTCAAGTTGTGCTTTTGCTGGCTAGGCAGAAGTCAGGATCCTAGCTTTTTATTGCTAGCTTCATGCAAGTCGTGTCGCGCTTAGCGCCCCACACAGTAGTTTATACAACATACTGTAATACACACTGTATTTGTTTACAGTATCAGAACGGGCCCCTTTTTACATATTAATCTTTCCCCCCGTCGTCACTATTGACACGAACTAAATATTCAACTGGGAATGGTAGGTTTTGTGAATACAGCATTTCAAAATTTGTCAGGAGCCGCTGGAAGTATTCAAGAAATAGTAGATGTGTGTCCAATTTGTTCCAATCTGTGTACAAAAAACGTGTCCCTAGCCATAGTAAAGAAAACCCGATTCCGCTGCCGTGTACTTGACAAGACAACGGACAGCAATACAGTTCAACTCCAGCCAGCACCGTATCTAAAACAGAAAAAAACAGGTTCGCAAGAAAATAAACGAAACAATCAACGTATACAGACCCAAAACTGTAAAGAAAACCCGGGACAAAAGAAGAAAACAAAAACCATAATCAAATGAACACCTTGTTTGCTCCGGTACCCTTCTTTGAGGGAAACCCTCTTCCACTGTGTAGGTACTGTTGGACCCTTGTATCTTCAACCGGATAGCTCTGGTATGATTCGAATGATGAGTGTTGTAAAAGCAAAAATGACCAGGACTGAAAAAAAGCACCTAAAGACTGCAAAGCAGGGATGGAAAGGAGGGGAATTCAAATAGACAATCTGGTTTATGTATAAAAAAAGTGTGCAATCGAGTAACAAAGGTACTAATAAAAGTGATAGTCGACCGAGGTGGGTATATAGGGAATTAAAAGCAAATACGTTGAGCAAACAGAACGAGAAACAAGAGAAGCAAAATGACAGGACTCGCTTTGCGGGGGTTTGAGGGCGGTTTCTGAGATGGGGATATAAACAGAGTAACGTAGAAAGAGGTACGGAGGACACCGCAGAAGAACGAGCCTAAAGCTTCAAAAAATCCGTTGCTGCTTAGCTGGTGGACTCTGATGCTGTCCAGTGATTGCGGATGAAATGAATAGTTAGAATTAGAGCAAACTGGGTGGTGAATGTGTTGGGAAATGATGCGAAGGAAGATGACAAAACAAAAAGCAGCATCGTACAAAAAAACAACAAAACAAAACAGAGACGCTATGAAGCCACGTAGAAACAAGGCTTATAACAAAACACAACAGCAGCCAGTTGCCTGGCTTATGCTAAATGCTCGTCTAGAAGCAAAGTTACCAAACCCCTGTCGGTGCAGTATGTCGCCTTGTTCCGTTTTTCCTAAATCGAGGATACAAAGAAAGCCCGATGTTTCTTTTGATTTCTAACAATTAATAAGAGTGTATTATGTGTGAAATAGTGTGATGCTTCCGGAGCATGGAATAAAATGTGACAAGATGTCGGAGTAAAAGAGCGATACGGGGACGGGCGGAATATATGAGAGAAAGGAGACGAGATTTGAATGAATGTGATCGATAACACAGAGAGGTAGAGAATGGGAGATGGGAGATGGGAGATGGGATGTGACGCCGGTCAGAGATAGTATAGTGAAAGAAACGACAAAGGAAAAGGATTTTGACAAAATGAGCGTGGTAGTGGTTGTTACTCATGTAGTTAGTCAAAGGAAGCCAGACCGTGTAATCAACGACGAGCACGAGCAGAGCAAGAAGATTGGGAAAGTAACAAATATTGACAGGCTCACGCCTGCCTATACTTGTTCATGGCCGTTGCTTTATCTTTGGAACTTTGAATCGGGAGGCTGATGTTGCGGGTGCGATGAGGGAGCATCAGCCGCCCATCCCGCAGTATCGTAGGATCGGTTGTAGGTAGAGGACGCCGTGGTTGCAGGGGGATATTGCTGTGGAACCGGTAGAGCTGACGCACTGCCGTGCGCAGGTTCGGGAGTTGGTGGACCTGTGCCCATACCACCGCCAATGCCCACGCTGCTCGGGTTGCTTCCAGGTGTGTCCAGGCGTAAAGGAGGTAGACGAGGGTTGCTCGGCGATCCGGACAGTGGTGACGGACTCATGCTATGGAAGCTTGACGACGCTGCTGGCGCTATTGGCGGTGGCAGGGATGACGGCAATATCGGGGGCGGAGGTGCAGACGTGGTGTACGAGGGCGTGTAGTATTCAATATTCGGCCCAGAATCCGTTCGTCGACGTTGCGATGGGCGTTCCACACCAACGGCAGAGTCTGAAGCTCCCAGAAGATGTGCCGGCGGGGGACCAGAAAACTCAGGTGCGGTGGTCATGGGCGGATACAACGGGCCCGGTGTGTGAGTCGGTGTGATTTGGCGTTGCGGCTGGTGTGGATGCTGGGGATGTTGCGTATACGGCTGGTGTTGTGGGAGGTGCTGAGGGTGCAGACGAGGTTGTGGCTGTGGCTGCTGCTGCTGAGGCGGCGCTTGTAGATGCTGTGCGGAAGCTGGTTGGGCGTTGCTACTAGTCATGGGGCTACCCTCAGCGCCATAAGACGGACCGCTCAGCGATGTAGACGCGGGACTTGGTGGCCCAGAATCGATGTACTCGCGCATGCTCGGTGACTGCGACATGATGTGCCGCAGTCGGTTTCGCTCGTTACGGTAAAAGTCGCGCTGTGCCTCCAGCTCCTGGTTGCGTTTCTGCAGGTCCCTGTTCACGGCCTCGAGTCTTTGTATCCCAATCTGTGCCTCACGGTCCTTCTCCTTTTTTCGTGCCCGGAACCGCGCCGACGCACCGGCGTTTCGAAGCCGCTTCTCGTCTGCTTGTTTCGATGCTTGGTGTACATCCACAGGAACATGGATCTCATCGCCATAGGAGGGTGTAATCGTAATGAACTGCTGTCCTTCCGCTATGGACACAGAGCGTCCGCCACCAATAATACCACCGGGGCCGCCGGCAGCTTTTACATGGCCCTCCCATGAAACCTCACTGCTGCTAGTGTTCGCATTGCTTGCAGATACAGTCCTGTTTGGAGTTGTGGTTGTTGCGAAACCTCCCTGCCGGGTGCCGGGGGGGAATGGTAAGAGCGACGATTGCTGGCCCTCCTGCTGTGGCTGCTGCTGCTGTTGCTGCTGGTTGTGGTCATGATGGTGTTGATACGGTTCAAGCGCCTGACCAGACGGCCCACGATTGTCCCCATGACCTGCCCCTTGCCTACCACCTTCACTGGCATAGTACGGTTTCGCGTACGACCTCTGTGGACTTTCGCCTGTCATCATAGAGGGTGGCGGGCCTGGTGCGGCATGTAGCGGAAAGTACGATCCTGGCACAGACCCAGCCATCTGCGCTGATCCAGAACCGGAACCTGATCCAGGACCGATGTTGGGGGCACTCATGCTCTGTTGTAATCGATTTGGAGGGAGAGGAGGTACGGGTGGCGCACCTGCTCCCCCGGGAAACAATGCATGCTGACTACCCGACGTGCCCATACCCGGGATGCCTCTTCCAAGACTGGTTCGGCGCGGCGATTTCGGTGTCAGAATTCGGCGGGGTTGCGACCCAAGAGAAGGGTTCGTATGCGAGTGTCCCAACCGCGGAGACGACTCCTGGTCGGAGCCGGTGGCCCCAGATAGCGGCACGAATCCCATTCCTGGACTTTTTGACGTATTTGGTGCCTGGCCCGAATCGGTCGATGCTGACTGACCATATCCAGAGCCGTAGCTGCCGGGCGCGAAGTTAGAAGGGCCGTGTAGACGTCCACCGCCACTGCCGCTTCCCACCTGAAATTCAGGTGGCGGCTGTGGATGACTTTGCTGCGCACGGCCAAGGTGGTTACCAGATGCACTGGAGGCCGATCCAATTTGGGGACTGCTTGCGCTGCTTGGCCTCGTTCTTGGCAGCGTTCGAGATTGTCCCATGTCCATACCCGCATTTTCCCTCGACGATGTTCTAGGCACGGTGGTCGGGCTGTGTGCTATTGCCTGAGCTTCAGAGGGATTTAAAATGTTGTGGACGCCTAGAGTTCGGGAGGGTGCTGGCTGTGCTGACCGGATTTCAGTGCTGGCCGCCTGCACAGCCGTTTCTGGTGTAGAGATTGATGTTGCTGGCGCACTATCCGTTTGACCTGCCTCCCGCTCCTGTGCCATGGTGCTCGTTATTAGCCCAGGGAGGGCGTTGGTGTCGGTTACGTCGATCGTTCTTTGGGGACTAATGGCAGTGCTGCTTGGCTTAGAGCGCTTCTTCGTATCGTGGCCGTAAGATGTTGGATTGTCGCCTGTGCTGGTTGTATGAGTGCCTCGTTCGGCAGGGCGTGTGTCATGCTGCTCATCGCGGTAAAGCAGATGACGAAGTTCTTTGTTTGGGGAAGTAGTCGGGGAGAGACAGGTGACGGGCGTGACGGAGATGTCGTTGTTTCGGGGTGAGATAGGCTGTGAGTTGACGTCCGATGAGGTACGGTGATGGGAGTTAGGACGAGGCACAAATGCCTGCTCGGACATCGAATGCTTCTTGTCCCCTATCTTCCGCTCTTGGTCGTATAGACCGCGGCATCGGCCGCTCTCCTCTTCCTTGATTTCTGCAGGGAAGGCCCTGGGCATAGGCCCAAGCTCCAGTTTGGGCTGATCACCAGTCAGTTTTTGTACGCAGGTGGCGGTACTAGCTGCAGTGAAGAGAGCGGCCGTCGTGGCAACAATTATTGCGTCCTCGGTTGCGACCTTCCCAGCGGAAAGCCGGGTACGTGGTAGAGAAGATGTTTCTGATCGTGGCTGCCGTAGCAGTGTTGTCGTCGTAGTCGTTGCTGTCGTCGTCGAAGATGCCACGATGACTGTGCCCTCTATTGCGGGCCAGCAAGTGGACGAGTTATCTGTGCTTGCGACTGCCAGACACTCGCTGTTTTCGTTGGAAGCGGTGCCGAAAGCAGTGTCGTGAAAAAGATGAAACTGGCTGCACTGCCTGTCGTTGGAAGCCGGAGAAACCGTGGCGTCCACAAGAGTCAAAACTTGCGCGGGTTTCTCTTTCAAACACCCGGGTTCTTTCTCTAGAACAGTTTGGTGGAGTATAAAGAAACGCCAAAGTGAAGGCTAGATTCGACGATACTAATACTGACGATCTTCTTTTCAGATTTGAAGACAAGGCTCTCAAAATGGACCGGGTGCTGCCGCTAGTGTGTGTCGCCGATGAAGGTTAAGATTGAAACGAGAGCTACCCAATATGGAAGGAAAGGCATAAATAATGGAGAGATGTGTGGAAAATAAGAAGAGAACGACAACCAAGCTATTTGTGCCACAGCTCGCATCTATGGCGATGGAACGAGGCAAGACCAATGTAGCGTTGGCGGAGCTAAAACGGACCAGCTGAAGAAGACGTCGCTGCTGTTGGATGTCCGTGTTGACGGTGACTAGCAGATGCTGCGTTTTTGGTAAGTGCTGAGAACTTGGTAAGGCTGTGAAGAAGGGGCGCAGGTCCTGGTCAGTTGTTGCTGGACGCTGAGCCACTTCGACGGAGAATGAGATCGAAGAAAATCAGAACCGAAACTGAGGGATGAAAAACCGCAGAACGTGAGCCTCAAAGAATGGGAGGCCTGAGTTGGCTGGTGGAAGCAGCTGGCCCTCGAATGATCATGTGCGCTGGAGGGAAGGGTGGAAATGGTGCGCTTGACTAGGAAGCGAAGAGATTCGCGGGACGTCGAGGACGAAAAGGCTGATGATAACAAAAAAGGAATCAAGGTGTCAGAATAGGCGAAAGACCATTGGGAAACATCTCAAGAAGAAAAGCGAGAGAAATATCTAGACGACAAGGAAGTAGTGTGCCAAAGTAAAATACGGGGATGTCGAAAGCCAGGAGAAGAGTTCGTTTTGGTCGAGAAGGCTTGGGAAGGGGTATCGAAAAATAATAAACCTGGGAGAAACCCATCCTTCTCAGCAGGCAGGCACTCACACTAACAATAAGCACAAAGCCTCTCTCTGACCGTCCAGAGTCAACACCCCGTGTAAGCCGATCAGTGGGTATGGGTGTGGGAGATGGACGGATAGCCAGGCCACACCAAGAGAGCACGCGCGTGTATTTCCTGGTCTGCGTAACGTTCTTCGCACTCGTAGTGCTTTCCGTCCAGAGACGACTCTCGTGCTTGGTTGGCTGGCTGGTTGGCTGGTAGCTCTTGAATCGCTGTGTCGATGGGGCGCGGGATGAGATGGACAGCCGATAACTAGCCACTCATCGTGCTGAAGTGAAGCCTTATGCAGCGAGTGGCTCTAGAGTGGTCAAACGACTTGCAGCACTAGAGCCATCTGAATGGATTGAAAGAAAGATGTAAGTCAGGATGGGACGGACCTCCCTTGGGAAAACAAACAAGAAAAGTTTTCTACCTCCTCCTATTTTCCCACGCGTCTGGTTGTCGGTAATAAAAATAATAATAAGATAGATAAAATACTCCGTAATACCCTATTAAGCAAGGCTCGAAAGAAATAGGAAAGAGGGAGAAAAAGAAAAATGTAATTTAGCAGGGGGTGGGGGTTTGCCAGCACTATGGATCTGCCTTGTCCCAGTTTGGTTCTTGGAAGGCCTGATTTGGAGTACTTGCCTGCAAGTACCATGTACTCTCCAAGCCCTCTCTACCCCTGTCGTGTTCTCGTTGCACCTGATCGTCTTTTGTCTGCCGAGCATTGTCGTGTTGTGCTCGTGGAAAAAGTCTAAAATGTAGAAACGTATGTGTATTGGTGACTGACCTGAGAGGGGGATGAGGGAGGGCCGAAAGAGCAGAGCACGAGAGTGCTAGGTGTAACTTACTCAAGATATGCTGTTTGCGAAGTGTCGAGTCTTTGGCAAATACAACATAGAGCGTAGTCAATCAAGATTTCCTCACAGCCCAGTCATTGTAAACGCTAGTAAATCTGGCCAGGGTGACCAAAGATTGATGGATGAGATGAAGTTGTTTTGGTACAAACCAAAGTACCGTGTAAGTGAGAAAAGAAGAAGGAAAATGGGCCCTCTAAAGCGTATGGATTAAAAAGGAGAGGGATCGCATTGCTTGTCAATGTGCCTTTGGCTCATCACGCTTCTCCTTTTCTCTTTCCTAAATAGTCGTGGCGTTTCGTATTGTTGACAAGGTTTTTTTGGTGGTGCACTTGGTTCGCTGTATGTTTTCATCTGGGCCGCGCTCTGCTCCAATGTAACTGAGCTCGCTACATCGCCACTATGTCTTCGGTGATGGTCAGTGCAAGTTTCTTGTTACCAGATTTAAAAGCGTCTACCGCATGGCGACTTCAGTGAAAAGATGAGGACAGCGACAAAAGGGCTCAAAGGTCCTTTTTCCAGTGCGACATGTTGTTCCTGTAGTCTGGTTATGGCAAATAACATAATTGAATAGGGGGCCGCTAGCGCAGAAGACGCTCTGAGGCCTTTGGAGAGAGATGACCTGTGCTGGTGCCAGTTGGCACAGGTCTAGTCATAAAAAACAAATGAAAAAAATCATCCCAAGTCGGCGTGGCAAAGTCCACATTTACTGTCCATTGTTGTGACCATGTTTAAAGCCACAGAACAAATTCTGCGCGACGTAAATCGTTTACCAGATGTTGTTTTCATTCAGGCTCCTCTTGGCAACTGCACTCGATATGAACGTACAGGGCAATACGTGTTGTGGGCACTCCGCTGTCATTCTCCCTGGCTGGTGCTCAGGCGGGCCAGTCCGCATATCCTTGTCGTCTTCATGGTGGCGGACGAAGTTTTTGAAGTTGTGCATGACCAGCCAGTGTTGTCGATAGGATGACTAGCGTAGCGTGCTGGCGTCCTGGTTTATCCTGCTTTGGTGTAGCGTATGCTAGCGTATGGGTCAAGATGAATAGGCTCCGTATTCTGTCGAAGGAGTCGGGTTTTCGTGTTATGAGGAACTGGTAACTGGCTAATCAGTGGGCTGTCGGGAACTGCGGTAAGGTGGCGGTGACGATATCAAGCTAAGGGCGGGTTCAAACCTACCTACCACTTCAAAGACAATAGGATGTATCCTGTGGTCGTCTTTTCCTTGCACATGGTTTACTTGCGTTATTCGACCCTGACCTTTGTATGAGTGTCGATGGTAAAAGAGGAAGAGTGGCTGAGCTCCCCATCTCACAATTTGTCGATGTCGATCCCGTCCGGCTCTGGATCAGGAAATAGGAAACAAGGCGAACATATCCATCTTAAGCTCGAACATTAATTAGTTGGGGGCCACTGGTTTCGTTCTTTTACCTTTTGTGGTGTAATCTAGGACATGCAGTTACATACCAAAAGGCAGAAAATGCCACGACGTGATAGAATCAGTGCCCGTCCGACAAGAACTGATGTGGTGCAAACTCTAGCCCGCTGTCTGAGAAGAAGAATAGATCTCCAATTTGTGTAAGGGGACAAAGCTCATGCAGGTCTG